TGCTATAAAAGAGTAGTGACATCAACATTTAAAAAAAAATTAGACTTTTATGATGCTGAAGTGCAATGCAATTAAAATCAAAAACTTTGAATTGTATGTTTATGACTGTAAAAAGCAGTGAACCCAAATGTAAAGCAAAATTTTATCTAAACCGAAGCATTCAAGCAGTTCAGTGAGCTGCATAATAGTATAATTATTATTTTTACTTTTGTTTCTACTGTTCAGTTTCTGTCGTCAAAATAAAAATGGTCCATTTGTTGGACCTCTTCAGTTTTGTATTTTTAATTTCTGTAATTTCGGCAAAGTTTCCAGAAATTGAAAATGGAGACAGTGAAATACTTACAGCAATAAAATCAGGTAATTGTAACTTGCAATTTTTTTTAACGTTTAGAACAATTTTAACTGAACGTATAGAATTTTAGTTTATCAAACATGGGATCCAACTAAAGAAGCTACAATCGATGATACTATCTGGACCACACTTAAAAGCGAAAAAAGTAATCGTCAAAAACGGCAAATTGGTGCTCTATGTCCAACCGGTTACACCGGTGAAAACTGTGAATTTCGTAAGTTATTATTCTTTTTTTTTTTTACAAACAAGTTTACATTAACAGTCACTGTTAACGTAGTTTAAAAAAAGAACAATAAAGCTGTTAAGGTCAAATTATTAAACAGTATAAATATCACTTTAGTGTTTGTCATTTTAAAAAATAATCAAGTATAAAAAAAATTTGATATATAACTTTTTGGTTAATTAATTTGTTTTAATTTGCTACCAATTTTACAGCAATATGCGAAGTGACAAACACAGAAGCCTTGAACAATCCATCTGGTGGATTGGTAAGTTTCACTGTACAGAGCTTATTTGTGCTCACTATTTATAATGATTTGAAATATGATACAGGAAATTCTTTCAAAAATTGTATTTGACATTTTTTAGTCATCTTCTTCTTAAGCTTTCTGCAAGAATTTTCATTTGTCTCTTTAGTTTCTGCAGTATCAGTTTATAGTTCTCTTTATAAACGTTAGGTAGATTGAGATGTAACCACCGTGTACCGTTACCTGCCTAATTGACTTACAGTACTTCAGTCTAAATAATATAAATTTGTCTGTATAAAGTTTAAAAAAAATGTAAATAACTAGTTTTTAGCGAGCACATGTCCAAGTGGATACAGCATACTATTCATCCTGCAATATCTCAATGAAAACAGCAATTGATTCAACTTTAAGAGGAATCACCATCAAAGTGATAGCAACACCAAATGAAGATCCGGACGTTCAGTTCATCAACAAAGACGGTATGCAGTTACGCTTTGAAAAGTAACATTTACTATATATATATTTATTCATCGAAAAACAACAATTTACAGGTATTATCACAAAAAATATATATTTATAAATCAGTTTCGCTAATATATTTTATTATCATCATTAACACAGTGACGACAATACATTTATGCTGATTCATAAACTCTTTTGATACTTTGCTTCTTACTGTAGGTTATCATGAAATACCAAAACTTTTTTCCACTTAAATTGAAGCATTCAATATGCAGTCATAAACATAAAAACAACTTTGGCGTCTAACAAAACTGAAACTGTTTTCAACAAAAAACTCACTAAGAAACTGTTGCTGAAATTTTTAAATCAGTATAAAGTTTATCAAAAAATAGAAAGTCGAAAACTTTCAGAAAAAATGACAAAATTGGCAAAATAAAAGACCAGTAGCAAATTTTGTCTTGTAAAATTCTACAGTTTTTCTATTCATTTCTGTAGCTTCTGTTGTTTGGTCATCTTTGCTCAGTCGTATATAATATATAATTATTACTGAAAATTGGATAGATCTGAAGAAAGATTATTTATATAAAACAAGTCTATAAAAGGTTCTTATATGATAAAAAACAGTTGTTTTCCTAGACTTTTGTAATTATTTGTACCGGCCCAAAAGCGTAATAGATAAATTTTAGTTCACTTTTGAGGCTCTTCTTTAACTCATTTTAGAACTGTACTATTCGTAATTTTGTTGTTAAAAGTTTAATTAAATAAAACATATTATTGCATAAATTTTTATAATACTAAGTTACATAAAAGCACATAAAATTTAATTCGTATTTTGCCATATAGTAGAAATTAATGCAAGAAGTAACGGCTCTATTATCTTCCGAACACATTTTTTTCTCATTAATAATCAGTCCTCTACCAGTCATTTTTATCGCTACTTTTTAAATCATCGGTTAAATGTGTGCTTATTGTTTTGTTTCTTCTTAAAAAATTTAAATTTGA